GCTGTGTTCATCCAGCTCTACACCTTGTTATTCTCCACCTTGTTAGCTCTCCACATTTTTTGGAGTTGTCATGTTGCTGTTTGCAATGTACAGTTACTGCCACTAGATGGCACTAATGTTTTACAGTGTCAATAACATGACAGTTTTTGCGTTCTATATTTAAGGTAGTATCTAGTAAGAGCTGATGCAGTCAATTTCCACCTTTTTATACTAAGTTTCCATGCAGTTGAATGAGTAAATGTATTTTCATTCCTGGTGGTAATTTCTGCTTTGTCTCCATCAGGTACTAAGAAAAGGTTCTGGAACACTTTGTGAGGCACTCCTCATGGTGCAGGCTTTTCATGCCAATATAATCTTCCCAAACAAGCAGGAACAAGTCTTTAATAAACTAACAAATGATGGTCATGTGCTTGATTCAGAGACTTACGTAGGAGGACATGTGGAAGCTTTGGAATCGGGAGTTTTTCGTAGTGACATACCATGCCGATTTAAAATGGTGTGTATACTTGTGTTGTCACAATTAAATGCACAACAGAAGCCAATTTATGTGAAGTCTACATGAAATTACACCTGTAACATTGAAGGCAAACTGACAGTAAAATATTTGGCTGCTTGCAGTTAAAATCAGTCTGAGTCTTCTGATCCCAGTCTTCTGATGCTAAATTACAGCTCCTTACAAATTTTATTATCCAGACAATTCCTTCATTGATGAGGGATAGATATAGGTTCATTGCTCCCATTCACATGTATTTTACTGTGAGACTTGGAATTACAGTGATGTAGCTCAACAGGTGAATCAGTCCATCATTTCTGTGCAATTTTATGTTGTCTCCTTGAGTCATAAAAGTTTAATCACAAGCTCTAGTGTTTTCATTATGAAACTGTCTAATAACGTTTTAAAGAATCTATGGACTGCTTTAGCCTCAATCTGCCAAACAAAAATTGCATTCTAATCAACTTATGTAGTTAATTATCTTTCTAAATTTTTTTTTTAGTTTTGACTTTCTTTACCCTTAAATGTTATCTTGTTTACTTGTTAAAAAACAATTAATCACTGTGATGACTCTTAATATTGAAGATTTCAGTCTGGATGATTGCTTGACAGCAGGAATGCTCCTGTTAGGCAAGGCCAGTCTTGCATGATTTTTCTCGTTGAGAATGAAGCCTCTGGCTGTGTTTACTTCCTCAGGAGAACATTGAATTGTGGCAGTAAATCAAAATTGTGACCTGTTTAGAAATCAAGTTAAATTCTAAACTAGTTGCCTTACTTCATTCTCAACATCAGTATATTTGCTTTCAAATGAACAGTAGTAGAATTGGAGAACATGTTTGAGACCAAATTACTGAGCAGGGGCCAAAAGCTTTTGTATGACAACAAGGGAATTATGTGGGATGATCCATTTCCTTTCCTCTTTTGTTGCCGCCCCTGACAAACTTTCATAGGTATTTGCTGTAAGGAGTTCTGATATTTGAGGTTATCAACATGGTTTTCTGCCTACCATCTCAGAAATTGTTTAACATCTTCTCATCAGTCTTGTATTGAAGTTAGAAGTAAATCTGCGCTGGTTAGGAAGTGTTTACAATAAGATTTAGTAGGAATTATAATCCTGTATTGGATTTTTGTTTGTTAAGGCATACATTATTGATCCTTTGCTTTTTTTCTCCCCCTCATGGTCTTCCTTTTTCCAGAACCCAGCAGCATTTGATTTCTTGCTGCAAAGAGTGGAGCATACCATGCGACATGCCATTGAGGAAGAGGAGAAACTTCCCATAGACCAGGTTACTAATTTCCAAGAGGTGAGTATTGTTGCTGTTTTATGGTTGTGTACATGCTGCCATTAAGTCCATTTCTGGAGCCTCCCACGGATAGTTATTTACTTTTGTTGACCCTGGAATGATGATGTTATGCAACCTATTTCACATTGTTGACATGAGGAGGCAATGGCCTAGTGGTATTAATGCTGAACTGTTAACCCAGAGACCCAGGTAATGTTCTGGGGGTGTGGGTTCAAATCCTGCAATGGCAGATGGTGGAATTTATAATTCAATAAATATCTGAAATTAAGAGTCTAATGATGACCATGAGTATATTGCTGATTGTCGGAAAACCTATCTGGTTCACTAATGTCCTTTAGGGAAGGAACTGCCATCCTTACCTGTTCTGGCCTACATATGACTCCAGACTCTCAGCAATGTGGTTGACTCATAGCCTCACTCTGGGCAAGTAGGGATGGGCAATAAATGCTGACCGAGCCAGCCAAGCCCTCATTCTGTGAAATGAAAAAGAATTCTTACGCAGGTTTTTTTTCAATGTTTATGTGTGACTGCTTTAGTCAGAATTCTGAATTTCTTGAGTTCTGGAGTTTTCAATGAGTTGGAAAGTTATTCCCTATTTGTTTAATCATTCATCGTGAATGCCTTGACTGTTTGCAAGCAAGGGTAACTCCAGTTATGCAGTTCCTTCTTACAGCTTAGTCCCGAACCTCAGCTAAGATCTTAGTGCATTGTTCATTTTTTCCACAGCCTGTTTATCCTTAGAGTTGGTTGCTTAAGATTGAACATCATATTACCGATCTTTCAAAATATTTTCATCCTCTGAATAGCAAATTTCATATGTTTAATAGAATGTAGTGTTTAGACCATTTTTAATTTAACCTCTTAACAGTTTTTCCTTGCATTTTTTGCCTTGCAAATCTCTTGTATCCCATACAGTGGAGAAAAGTAGTTGAACACCCATTCCTTGGTTTTGGTGAATAGTTCTTTTATATTCAATGTACATACAAACCAATGCTGCTAAAGAAGGAGAGAAGTCAAACTTTGTGATTGATTGGATATCTTAAATTTTAAGCTAAGTTTCTAAGTATCTAGTACTCAACAATAGTTTGCTTCTAAGGACTTTCAGATGGGTGAATTTTCTTTCCTGTAGGTTTGTGATGAGATTAAAAAGAAACTGAACTGTTTGAAGGAAGTTCCCAACAGGATTGAATGTCCACTCATTTACCACTTGGATGTAGGAGCAATGTACCCTAACATCATTCTGACCAACCGCTTGCAGGTACTGTTGGTTTATTAATGTAATATTAAGTTGTGGTTTTAGTGAAGTATTATCTTTCTCTTTTCTAAATGATCTTTGCATTATATTCAAATTTGGCCGTTTATCTGATTTGCCATTAGTTGTTGCCTAACCAGTAGTTTAACTATGCTCCTAATGACTCAAACATGTTATAGACCCTTTGGTCCAACTCACCCATGCCGACCAGACATCCCAATCTGACCTAGCCCCATTTGCCAGCACTTGGCCCATATCCCTCTAAACCCTACCTATTCATATACTCATCCAAAAGACTTTTAAATGTTGTAATTGTACCTGCCTCCGCCACTTCCTCTGGCAGCTCGTTCCATATATGCTGCACCCTCTGTGTTTTTAGAAAAAAAGTTACCCCTCAGATCCTTTGTAAATCTTTCCCGTCTCACCTTAAATATATGCCTTCTAGTTTTGGACTCTCCCTCCCTGGGGCAAAAAAACCTTGGTGATTTACCCTATCCATGCCACTCATGATTTTATAAACCTCTATAATGTCACCCCTCAGCCTCTGACATTCCAGGGGATAAAAGCCCCAGCCTATTCAGCCTTTCCCAATAGCTCAAACTTCAGTCCAGGCAACATCCTTGTAAATCTTTTCTGCATCCTCTCAAGTTTAACAACATTCTCCCATAGAAGGGTGACCAGAATTGTATGCAGTATTCTAAAAGTGGCCTTGCCAATGTCCTGTACAACTGCAACATGACGACAGTCCAAAATGGTAAATAATTTGAGGAGTCCAGTGAGAGAAGCATTGTTCATGTGTTGTATTCCAAGAGGCTGATGCACAATTAGCAGCAACTGTAAAGGTGTTTGTGCCTTCAAATTTTTGTTGGCTGCAAATGGAAGAATCCGATTTGCTGACACAGGAGAAAATCCTGTGCTTTGAGTTGACAAGTGATCAATCTTAAGAAAAAATTAGTTAGTGTCTTACTAATTATGATAATTAAATCTGTGTTGATCTCATTCAGGTTTCTTCTGCATCAAGTGTGCCATATAGAAACAAGGGCTATTGTGGCACAATAGTAATGTCTCTACCTCTGGACTAGGTAGCCTGAGTTCAAATTTCACTTGCTGTGGAGTTGTGTATTTGCATTTCTGAACAGGTTGATTAGAAAATATCTACAATATAGCAACAGACCAAATACCCAAGCCGATTAATCTTCTGTTTTAAAAGTGTAGAAAGAGGCCAGATCTGGCAAGTGGTCTGTGCTGGTAATTATGCTCCATGTAAACCACTTCCCACATGACTTTGTCTAACATTGTCAGCGTATCGTTCTATGTCTGTCTCCCTTAGTGTTCATCTTGCTCTCGTTTAATGCATCATTATCAGCTTGCCTCAATTGCTCCTTTTGGTACACTGTCTTAGGTGAAGAACTTTATTCTGAATTCCCTGTTAGATTTATTAATAACTGTGACCTTTTTAGTTTTTGAACTTCCCTACAAGCTCGGAAACATTTTCTCCAAACTATTCTAGCAAACCCATTTATTTATCTTCATCACCTCTGTCAGGTCACTCTTCCATCTTCTCTGCTTTAGAAAAACGAGCACCAGTCTGTTCAGCCTTTCTTGATAACTATATCCAGTCTGTTGCGGAGTCATCTTTTGAGTCTGTGCACCATTGTAATGCACTCCATATCTTTACATTTGGAACTATTTCAAATGTGTTCTAACCAAGTTTCAGTGCAAGTTTAGCATAACTGCTATACTTATCACATCTTGAAATCAATTCCTAAACTAAAACACAGAACTGAGAATGCTGGAGATCTGAAACAAAAAAAAACAAATTGCTGGAGAAATTCTGGTGTATCTTTCAAGTTTCGGCAGCAATTTCTGTTTTTGCGTTAGAAATTAACTCCAGTAGTTGTTTTTATATTGTTTGACTTCTGTTGCACTTGATTTGTGAAACTGTACCTTTAGATCCCTTTTTGCTTCTGTAAACCATTCAGACTCCTTGTTATCTAAGCAAAAGAGAACAGTATACCTACTTACTCTTTCCATATCTTTTCCGTCTCACCTTAAACTTATGCCCTCTAGTTTTGGACTGCCCTACCCTGGGGAAAAGACCTTGACTATTCACCCTATCCATACCCCTCATGAATTTATAAACATCTATAACGTCACCCCTCAGCCTCTGATGCTCAGGGGAAAATAGTCCCAGTCTATTCAGCCTCTCCCTATAGTTCAAACCCTCCAACCCTGGCAACACCCTTGTAAATCTTTTCTGAACCCTTTCAAGTTTTACAACATCCTTCCTATAGCAGGGAGACCAGAATTGGTTGGGCCACTGTTGGAATAATGGATGCAATATCCTGTACATCCGCAACATGACCTCCCAATTCTTATACTCCATGCACTGACCAATAAAGGCAAGCATACCAAACGCCACCTTCACTATCCTATCTACCTGTGACTCCACTTTCAAGAACTATGAACTTACTCTCCAAGGTCTCTTTGTTCAGCAGCACTCCCCAGGACCTTACCATCAAGTATCTAAGTCCTGCCTGATCTGCCTTTCCAAAATGCAGCACCTCACAGTTATCTAAATTAAACTCCATCTGCCACTCCTTGGCCCATTGGCCCATCTGATCAAGATCCCGTTGTACTCTGAGATAATCTTCTTTGCTGTCCACTACGCCTCCAATTTTAGTTTCATCTCCAAACTTGATAACCATACCTCCTATTTTCACATTCAAATCATTTATATAAGTAGGAAAAAACAGTGGACCTAGCACCAATTATTGCGGCACACCACTATTCATGGGTTTCCTGTCTGAAAAGCAATCCTCCACCAGCACCCTCAATCTTCTAAGTTCGAGCCAGTTCTGCATCTAAGTAGCTAGTTCTACCTCTATTCCGTGTGCTAGTTCTACCTCTATTCCGTATGATCTAACCTTGCTAACCAGTTTGCCATGAGGAATGTTGTTGAACACCCTACTTGAAATCCATGTAGACCATGTCCACCACTCTGCCCTCATCAACCTTTTCTGTTACTTCTTCAAAAAACTCAATCAAGTTAGTGAGACATGATTTCCCACGCACAAAGCCATTTGGAATATCAGTGATCAGTCCTTGCCTTTCCAAATACATGTAAATCCTGTCCCTTAGGATCCCCTCCAACAACTTGTCCAGCTCACTGGTCTACACTCCCCTGGCTTTTCCTTCCGTTTTTCTCAAATAGTGATGCCACATTAGCCAACCTCCAGTGTCCTGGCACCTCACCTATGGCTATTGATGTTACAAATATCTCAGCAAGATGCCCAGCAATCACTTCTCAAGCTTTCCACAGAGTTCTAGGGTACACCTGATCAGGTCCCGTGGATTTATCCACCTTTTATGCGTTTTAAGACATCCAGCAACATCTCCACTGTAATATGAACATTTTTCAAGATGTCGCCATTTATTTCCCCACATTCTCTATCTTCCATATCCTTCTCCACAGTAAACACTGATCCTTCTCCACAGTAAATACTGATGCAAAATGCTCATTTAGTATTGAATAGTTAATTGCGTAAAACCTCTGAATAAAATTTCCATTTGCATATATTGATTCACAATTTGTTATTCTTTTTTTCATGCAGCCTTCTGCCATTGTGGATGAAGCCACCTGTGCAGCATGTGATTTCAACAAACCAGGTGCATACTGCCAACGCAAGATGACCTGGATGTGGCGAGGAGAGTTTAGTGAGTACAAATAATTATATAGATTGTGTCTAGCATATAGACCATCTCTCGCATACCTTGAATGAGTTATGTATAGTACTTGGTTAAAGGGATCAAAGGATATGAGGGCGAAACAGGAATAGGCAATGTTCAGAGAAAATGGTTGAAACAGGTTTGAAGGGGTGAAAAGTCCACTCCTGTTCTTATTTTCTACATTTCGCTAACCTATAATAATTTAATTTCATTTTACCCTTGCGTTTTGTTGTATAGAACTTCCTGTTTTGCTAATTAAGGGTCTTGGCGATGCAGAAACTGAAATGGGAACAGTTTGTCAATATCCTGAAGGGCGTTGAGCATTTTGCCTAAAAAGAAGATACATGAGAGAGAATTTCATTTTATGCTAATAGCATTGCTTCTCGGCATTTAATTAGAAAGTTTTAATTACTTAATGGGAACATCATAAAAGAAATTTACCTTTTTAACCATTTGTGTATATTGATTTTCTTCCTAAATGCTTTAGAGAATTTAGTCTATTTTTTAACTTGCAAATCATGAATACTTACAAAACTCCAGATATTGGAGCAATTTTTGTTGCCAGGATGACTAGCTTTCGTGGAAGGAATTAAGGGACAGTTTGCCATGGAGATAGCTGGCAAGTCCTTGTACGTGGAGTATGGATGCTAACAGGATTGAGAGAGAGGTGGGAGGGGAGGAAAGGAGAAGTAGTCTCTTTATGTGCTGCTTCATGTTTCTGAAACTACTGTCACAGAAGTGTTAATCCTGCCCTGAATCTGATGCCTCTAACTTCAACTTCATTCACTGTACAGTGTTATGAACAGAGACTGAAGAAATCTGGGAAAAAACATGCCCCAGAAAGACATGAGACAAAAAGCAAAATTATGTGACAGTCCCAGAAAATCCAGGGCAGTTGGCCATCATGCTTAGAATGTCTTTATCCCATCATTTCTAGTAGTTTGTCCCATAATTTGTTTTACTGGTGCTGGTCAGGTAACATTTCTTTCTTTCTTGGGGATGTGGATATCACTGGCAAGACAAAAGTTTGTTGCCTATCTCTTTTAACCCTTGAACTTAGTGACTTACTGAGCCATTTCAAAGGGCAGGTACTGTTAGTTCTCCTATAATGCGATAGTTGCATTCTTGTGTGACCTCACGCCATAGAAAATCGCGTTGTAGGGAAATCGCTATACATGTACAGCAGAAAGCTTGTGTTATCCAAATAGCGCCTACTATTCATCAGTTGCGTTACAGCCAATTCACGTTAATGAAACATGCGTTATAGCAGAACTACCTGTATGAGCCAACCACATTGATGTTGGTACCACTTGGATCTTTTGACTGGTGCTGTAGGCAATACAGTGTCACTAGTTAACCTTTTTTAGTGTTACTGAAGGTGGCATTCTGCATGATAATTTTTTTAATATATCCTTTCCTTTAGTATGTTTTGTGGGACCAAATCAACATTTGTGTCTACCAGAAATCTTAACTTGGCTCTGCCAACTTCTGCCAGCAAATCAAGAATTTATCGTACTTGAGGGAGTAAACAAAAGCTATGATTTTCCCCATTCTCTCACACTCATTCACACTCCATACCAACCTGACTTTTGCCTGCACTTGTCTACAATAGTACATGCTTCCACTGCTTTTGACAAAAGCTATTGACAAAAGTCAGTGGAAGCGTTGGAAAAGGTGCAGAGGAGATTTATCAGGATGTTGCCTGGAATGGAAGGAAGGTCTTACGAGGAAAGGTTGAGAGAGCTAGGGCTTTTCTCTTTAGAACGACGAAGGATGAGAGGTGACTTGATAGAGGTGTACAAAATGATCAGAGGTATAGATAGAGTGGACAGCCAGAGACTTTTTCCTAGGGTGGAGGTAGCTATTACGAGGGAGCATAGTTTTAAAGTGAGTGGAGGTAGATCTAGGGGAAACGTCAGAGGTAGGTTCTTTACTCAGAGAGTGGTCGGGGCATGGAATGCATTGCTGGAGAGGGTAGTGGAATTGGCCTCATTAGGGGCATTTAAGTGGCTATTAGATAGGCATATGGATGATAGTATAAGGTAGGGCTAGAGGTTAGATAGACCTTAGGTTTAGGGTAAAAGTTTGGTACAACATCGTGGGCCGAAGGGCCTGTACTGTGCTGTACTGTTGTATGTTCTATGTAATTGAACATCAAGAAATTTATCCAGAGAGGATTTTAAAACTTATTACTGTTTATTTTAGAAAGAAACAACAAAATCTAATCATAGTTATTTTGAGACTTCTAAATGAAAGATAATTAATAATCTAAATGAAGCTTGATTTTTATTTTGCGGCAAATAAATTAACACTTAGCATTTCTACAGTCAAAGAATCTTTCTCATACATTTTGTTGAAATACCTTTTGCTCCCTTTTGGACTGAAGAGAACAAAATTAAAAGAGACTTTTGCAACAGAGATGAAAGTAGTCAAAGTTTTAAACATGGTGTTGGAAAAATTTTCAGGCAGGCTTAAAGTCTGAAATGCTGGATCAGTAATTGGAAGACGTTGAGTTCATCTTAAATAAAGCATTTTGTTTTGTACCATATTGTGAAGACGACTTGTACAAATATAACTGGACACCAACATTCCATGACCAAATAAATTGATGCTTTATGTTCAATTCCTGTGCAACTTAATGATTTGTATAAAGCTATAACAGAAAAGTATTGACAAGGTTTACCAGCAAGGATGCACTTGGGAGGCGGGTGCTCTTTATTGGGTCGGTGACTTGATGGGCCGAACGGCTTGTATCTCCACTGTAGGGACTCTACGATTCTATGAAAGTAAGGTACAGCATACATTGCAGTTGAGATGACTTACCCCTCTGAACTCGGGAAGGTACTTGAAACATTTTTCAAAGGTCCCATTTTGGTGGAATGAATTTTGATTAAAAATGGTTTGCTCTTTGATCAAAGTCCATTTAAAATGATGTTCTACAAAAGTAAATATCCTCCTCAATGATATGCCTGGCTATTGTTGGATTTCCGATCCTTCAAATGCTGTTCAAATTCTATGATCTGGTATCTTTATAAAGAAACAATTTAAATCATGACAGTGTAATAAGAAATATTCGCAATGCTCCTTGAATGGGATAAGATCATATTTTCGTCTGGATATTATTTAAGCTTAAACTTTGATTGCATTTGAATTTTTTTGTACGCTCCAGGTCTGTCATCAATTTGCCAACATGAAATTTTAACCCTCACTGCCATCTGTACCTTGAACTGAACTCTGTTACATCAATGACTGTATTGGCGCCGCCTCGTGCTCCCACGAGGAGCTCGAACAGTTCATCCACTTTACTAACACCTTCCACCCCAACTTTAAGTTCACCTGGTCCATCTCTGATACCTCTCTCTCCTTCCTGGACCTCTCTGTCTCCATCTCTGGTAACCACCTGGAAACTGATATCTATTTCAAGCCCCCCGACTCCCATAGCTACCTAGACTACACCTCCTCTCACCCGCCTTCCTGCAAGGATGTGATCCCCTATTCCCAATTCCTCCGCCTCCACTACATATGCTCCCAAGATGAGGCGTTCCATTCCTGGATATCCCAGATGTCCTCGTTTTTCAAGGACCGCAATTTCCCCACCACAGTGGTCGAAAACGCCCTCGACAGCATCTCTTGCGTTTCCCGCACCTCAGCCCTCCCACGCCCTCCCCGCAATAAAAAACAAAGACAGAATTCCCCTTGTCCTCACGTATCACACCATTAACCTCCGGATTCAACGCATCATTCTCCGCCACTTCCGCCACCTGC